TTAAGCATTTTTGTTGTGATAATAATAAATTTTTGTTCATTTTTGATCGGACTTGTGCATTCATTTCATAACGAACCCGTACGCACGCAACAATATGAAAGAAATGAGTTTCACACTCAGTCGCAGGAACTGGGAATCATCCAGCTACAATATCAGGCAGTACATTAGTATTACATACGAAAATTTCGTCAATCGTAAATCCAGACTAGTTGGATACTGTAATGAAAGCAAAATCAATTCTGTTTCCGAAGTAATAAATACGTTTGGGGAAAATGCAACCTATTTGCAAGATATGTTCTATATCGTTATATTGTTTACGCAAATAAACAAAAATAGAACATTAAAAATACGTCACCGAGAGCGTTTTTTATTTACATATTATTTTAAAGCTAAATAATAATAATAAAAATTAAAAATGTATAAAAATTCTTAAAGCTTTTAGATATCGTATAACGCCCAAAGGAGCGTCATTTACACACACATACACGTTTGAAAATATTTGGGCTAACGCCTCTTTTGGCTAAAAATATTAAAAAGCAGCATATCTTTAGAATAGCCAATAGGCAGTATCGCGTGCTGGAGATAAAATCTTTCATTCCGTACAATGTTGCCACTACTCGCTTTGAAATAATTGAGTTTTTAATAAAAAATTTTTTAAAGTTTTACAAAAAAATGAAATAGATTATAAAAAAATTCGAAATTCAAAATTTGGGCTTCCAAGTGCCCATGTTCGGGTGGAGAACTACATTATTCAAAATCTGATGTCTCTAGGCACCGCCGTTTTTTCATAATACGAGAAACGTACATACATTTATGCAGATTCTTCATTATTTAATTTCTTAAAATATACTACAGGGTGATACTAATTAGTGGCAACAGTCTAGTAGGCTGGTGATTATAACGTTAAAAATAAGAAGCAAGGTTTAAAGCCATTAAAAGATTCAACGAAACTTCTCCTTCATTCTTTATTATTTCTTGTAGAAGAAAAGCGAAAGTTAAAACAGTGTAATATAAAGCAAAAGGAAAATTATATTTTAAAACTCTATCCTATGATAAGCAAATATGTAAATGGAGGTTTTTGATATTAGAAGCATACATTCTGAAATAAAGCTATCAAAAGTGAGTCATTAAAATAACTGAGACGTTAAGGAATATTAAATATACTTATGAGTTGCAAAATTTGAAACTATTCATGGTAACACAATTCAATTTATTGCAGGATTAACTCATTACAAAATCTAGAACTCATTACAAAATGATTAACTCATTGCAAAATCTGGAAAGTTATAATCTTGAAATATAATTATTTTCTAGTAATGATCTTAAAATTTAATTATGTGACTGTAATGACTATTTGAAAACAACTGATAATAAATCCTATTCTGTCTCATATTACAAAACTGGAGTATTTTACCGACATTTAACGGACTACAAATTTCAACTCTGAGCGATGATACTGCGGAACAATTTAGTATTTTAATGAAGTTAATGGGTAAGTTCTATGAACGTAAGAACTACAAGAACTTGTATCTTAACGCTTCATTATTTGAAACAACGTGATTTGTAATAAAAGAATATTCGGTCATATTTAATAAGAGACAAAATACATACATGATACGATCGAGAAGTACTTATACCCTTGTATTACTTCTATTAAGAATACTTTAAAGTAATGAAACTGAATTAGAAGTAAATTGTATTATGTGGGAACTTGATATGACTTATTATCTATGCATTAAGTTTGTAGCAATTCTTTGGATTCACAACCAATGATATCTATTCGACCAATTACCAATATAATGAATGATTAACTGAGAACTTACGGCATGAGAGATCTTAGAATTGGTTATTCTTGATGCTTTGAGAAAAGTTACAAAGTCTTGATGACTTAAGAATCTGAGCGCGTGCCACGAAGCAATATGTACGAACAATATCTAGGTTAGGTCATTAAATTCTGTTAAATTTTAACTACATTTACATTAAACTTAAACATATGTAAAGATAAGGTGTAAGGTATTCCTCCCGCCTACTTAGCATGCCTTCGTGGTGTAGTGATCATCACGCTCAACGCATATACGAGAGGTCCGTGGTTCGAGTCCCCGCAAGAGCATTGCTAATTTTTCATCTCTTTTGCTTCAAAAATACCTAATGTCTCTCCAACGGCTCCCGAACTAAAAGGTGGTGAATGATGATTCTTCACCACTAGGATTTGGCGACTGGGGCATCTAATTTTAATTATTTAAAATTAATCGAATCTCTGAAATTAAGATTTCCAGTGTCTTCTGCCTCGATACTTACTTTTTCTACGTTACGATAAAAGTACATTTCTCTTCATATGAAATTCAAATTTGCTTATTAATAGTCTCGAAAAAATCTGAAAAAAATTTTTAAACCGCTTATTAACATAATATTCATAGCTTAACATAATATTCACAGTCACTAATTTTTTACAAGGTGTTTGTTTAAAATAATATGCATGGTAAAAATGTCTCATAATTTTAATAATTTTATGAGGTTTTATCCCTCTCATTTATACTACATACTTCTCAGTTATATTACGTACTGTTCTGTCTTTTACATTTATAATTTTCCTATTCATTCCTATCCAATGAAGTCTGTTCAAAAGTGTTTTCCAGTAATAAATATTCCATAAATAGAGCACAGAAATATCCAAATTTCCAAACAGATAAAAATTTCAGTAAATTTATATTAATTATTATGTGCCTATCTAGGAACAATGCTTCTGAATAATAAGTTTGTTTAAAAGGTTTAGGTGTCCGGTGCCTATTAAACGAGCAAGACAGCAAAATTTATGTCTTTTACATGCATATTAAAACTTTTTAATTGTTACTGTTATTTTTAATTTTTAAGAAGGTATTAAAACTGCGAATTTAACTTGGGATATTTATGTTACATCTGAAACTAAAATATTTTTTTGGTTTTAGGCAAAAATTGCTTTAAAGTTATGAATGTATGACAGTTTTAATAAGCATGTAACATATTTCATTTTTAAGTATCATTAAAATGTGAAACATTAACAGAATTTTAGGTTAGCTGGAATTTAAGGAAAATATAAAACATTAACAGGATTTTAGGTTAACCGGAATTTAACGAAACACGAAATCATTTTAAATCAAATTCTATATCGAGAATTAACATTTAAGTAAAAATTATACTTTATAATTTAAGTAGAAATTTTAACTGAAGTAACAAGACTTATCTATTTTTTATGAAAGGTAATACCACGCTTGAAAAAAAGTAGTTTTAAAGAATATAAAAAAGACTTTGTAAAGATATTTTTTGTAATATTTTAGTATATAAACATGTAATTAGGGTGCTACGATTAGTAATTCTGCGTTATTATCAATGAATACATTAGTTACACACCTTATTAATCTATCATGAATAAAATAGTGAAAGCGTTTGAAGCTTAGAGAAATTAAGAATCTGGTAAATTTCAGTTAATTAAAAAATAATTGTTTTAGTAAACACAAATTCGAAATGTAATGAAAACATTTCTTTAGAGGTACATAACATGTGAAGACGGATTCCTTTCTACATAACAGCTCCTAGAAATAGCTTGAGAAATACAGTAAAATAACCTGATCTTAATTATGAGACAAATCAGTAATAAGTACACTGAGTTACTGAAACTTTGTTCTTGAGCAGGTCATAAATAAACTCGCATTTTTATAAAGTGGAGAATAATCAGAAAACGTTCAAGAAAAGTGATGTTATTGGTATAAAACAAGGACACTCTTAAATCGAAGCTGCAATTTAAATCAATAATGTTAATAATAATAATAAAGAGGAGGAATTTAATTTATTGGAAAACTGAATTTATTGGAGTAAGCTTGATTTAAATTCAAAACACTTCAATAGAGGTCTGAAGAGTTAAAGGTTCGCTACACAATTTTAGTTAAATTCCGAATACTGTTATAAATAAATAAGTGAACATATTTTGCTGTCAGAAAAACTATGCAATAACTATTTGTTACATTCTAAGTTATAATTTAAATTCAAATTTTTAACAAATTTGTTTATGTATAAACTTATGTTTATATTTAGACTCTTTTGCTTATGTCAATTAGTTGAAGCATTAATTCATTGAGATATAGAGAAGAGGAGTGTCTAGAAGCGAGAAATGGGACGTTTAATTGTACTATTGCCTAGAGCTGAACACGGAAATTTTGAACAACTACTCAAATAACTGCAACTCTCCACAAGAGAATATGATGGGAATGTTATAATCCTCATAAAAATACAGTGGAAATGTAGGTAGTTGATAAAAGCAGTTATAATTTTATTCAGTATACGGCAATATTTAGCTACAGTGTTTTCAAGTTAATTAGATAAATAATCAAATTATCATACAATATAAGGAAAGGAAATGTACATAAAGCTGAATTTAAATAAAATACAGAAATATAAAAATTTGAAATTGCGAGGAATTTCGCAGAATTATAAAGAATAATTAGCTTAATTTACTTTTTATAATTTTAATGTTACTATTCTTAGGTGCACTTTCATGAATTTGAATATGAAATATGCTACTTTATCTGGATATTTAAGTGAGTATTTACCTAGAATCATATCAATAATTTAAAATAGAAGTGTGCCATTAAATCACCGATATGACACAACGGCACGGAGTTGAATAATAATATTGAAACACTAAAACAGAGTTGAAACAGAGTTTCTACACAGAGTTGAATAATAATATTGATGCACTAAAGTCCTTAACTTCCATATATGTTTTAGGGACATTTTTACAAGTCGCATTTCCTTTAAAAAGTCATACAAGCTATGGTAGCACAAGCTATGCTGTAACAGGATATGTAACTGTGTAGTTTAAAACGAGAGTGCATCAAGAGTAGAAATAACGTTAAAAAACTAATGAGACTCACCACAGTTCAACACCAAATTGGCGTATTTTAAATAAATAGAGAAGCACTAATGTCAAAGCACATTTTAGTTATTTAATAACACAGGCAATGAAGTAGACTTTTAAATTTTTAATGAATTCAACACACATGACATTAAATATTCCAGTTATGTATAGCTATCGTTTGTCTTTTGAAGTTGATTACAAAATGCTTTTCGGAGTCACAAACCATTGGACTTACAAGAGCATATCTCTCGAAGACTTAATAGTTATTTCAGTGTTAGAAATACCATGGATAAGAAAACATGGTTTCATTAAATAGATCTTGAACAGTTCAAATGGCAAAAGTTTGAATCCTAAGGGAATAATTTATTACTTCAATGTACCATCCAATACAAGTCTAGATTTTAGTCTTGGTTCTGAAAGATAGTATCTTGTTTCGACTGCGATGATTTTACGTTGATTCTTCCTTGATAGATGATGGTTGGCTGTTAGTTTTCTTCATCTGGTGGTTGGTGGCAAATATAATCCGCAATTTAGGATTCATTTTGTTCATCTGTTCCAATATGATGCAATCTTTCTGCGAGCTACTGCTTAGACTGTTTTGGTTTACTTCTTTTGTGATCTTACTTTCTTCTGCTTGAAAGAAAATGCATTTTGAGATAACATGAAAAGATTTCGAAACAATAGAATTGTTCCAAATATGTATGAGAAAACTACACCGGTGTAGAAAATTAAAGGATAGCTTGGGAAATGACCCTTACTCCCCAGTGACAATTTAGAATTCTATGAAAATAAGCATATTTTCTAGCTTGACGGAAGGCGAAAATATGAAGCTACAGTTCCATTAACGTACATACTAAGTAAATAAGGACAACACACGAGGATAAAACATGAATACAAATTAGAATTCATCATATAGGGTGTTTCAAAACGATTACATGACTATGTATCTCTTGAATTATGGGACATGAATCCATAGTTCTAATTTAAGAAGTGAATCAAATAAAGCAGTTCTAAGTTTCCTGAAGTTAAGAATGCTGAATACTGGTTGTTCGGTCTGATTTGGGTTTGAAACAAGGCAAACGGATTGGTTGCGTGGTTGGTTTCCGTGGTTTTCCCCCATGTGTAACTTTAATGCGAGTCAGTTTGCCTCAAAAAGTTCCCCCTCCGAAAGCGTCCCTTATCTTAGGCAGATAGCCCTCGTGGCTTTGCCATGTTCAAATAACCTAATCTAACCTAACCATTCAACCATACCGGTGGCTGACGGGCTTGATGTGTGTTATTTGCAAACGGAAATATCCACGGGCTTAAAAATCTCACAAAACATCTTTTCAGAGAAATGAAAGAAGTTTTTCAAAACAAGAAATGTTAATCAACTGGAACATTAAAAATCATCCATGGACTATTTCCGCATACTATTTGTTTGCACTGGTAAGACAGAGCTGCCAAGAAACTGCAAAGTAATTCACATCTGTTCTTCAAGTTCCCAGTATAAAAATAAATAGGATTATTGCTTACTCATCGTTGTACGAAGGTAAAGCGATCTATATAATTTCTGTTTCTCTCCCAGGGGATAAGTAGTTTAAATTGGTGTCATCTATACTTTCAGTGAGGCCAAATAGATAGGCACTACTTATTGATGAGATAAATTTAAATACTGATTCTAAAGATACTTGCGCAGATTCCTGCAACATACACCTTTCAGTTATGCAGTTTTGTTTGATCATTTATCAGAACTATTTTGAGCACTCAACTTTTGCGGACAATTTAGAATAAACCTAATTCGTGATGAAATGTTCAGTATGATGAATGGTTGCATTTATATTTATAACATAATTTCTCTAATAAACCAGAGGAGTCATATTAATGAGCTCCTGCATTCAGATGTAAAGATTTTTAGCGATTGCAAAGAGAGAATTTCTTCTATTGAACAACAATACCCGACCTTCTCGACCTATTTAGTGAATAAATAAAGAAAGGAAGCTATCATTCGATTGATTCGTCAGTATACAGTCCGGATCTTAATCTTATCGAGCATGTGTGGATGTCTCAATAATGCCGAGCTTAATATCACACCAGCCTTCCTTTTCTGTAAGAGAAAGTCCAGATCAGCTTTTTTAGATGAATGAGTGTTAATACCACATGATTTATTCGAATACCTAATTAATTCCATAGAAAGTTGTTGCAGGTTATCACAATGATCACATATTATACCACTAAGGAAGTGGAGCTTTTGTGAGATACCTCATGTGCAGTCATATACATATTTTTTCTACAAATTTTATTTTGCAGCTCTCAAAATGTAGTACTATATCTCTGTTCAAATTCATATCGAAAAATATATGATTCTTTTTCATACTTCACAAGTAAGACTGAAATTTCTAAGCTATCTGCTAATTTTTACACCAGTGTAATATTCTAAATAAGTACATTACAAAAAATGTAATAAAATGAAATCATTAGATCAATTATTTAGAGTTATTAATCTCTAAAGAAACTTACTAAATCAAGTTAGCTGATTTATTACATTATTCTTTTTTATGTGCATGCAGTTAGAAATAAAATAAATCATGAGCTTATTAGCAGCTATAACAATCACTAGTAATGCTATCAAGGCAGAAATCATTTATTAATGGAAAAGGCGAGAAACATTGTAAAATTTATTGTTTCAGGATATTATCTGCTTGTACTTGTTAAATTACTTTAAAAATAATTCTGAATTTTAATTCGTTAATTTTTGTTAATAAAAAAATATTTTATGACTGGATTACAGTTTAAAAGAGGAAGACAAACTAATTTATCCTTTGAGACTTTAGTATCATTAGAAGATTAGTTTTACAGTTTGATATAAACCTTTGCAGTCGCCAATTATGAGATAATGAGAGCTATGAACACGAAAGAGAGGTTTTTTTAACCAAGAATTATTAGGCTGGATGAGACATAGTACCAAAAGTACAAACCAAAATTAAAATACCAGTCAAAGAAATAACACCATTATGACTCACTACAAAAATCAGAAGTTCTTTAGAATTCCAGCAGTGAGAATGTTTTGGTGGTTCTTAACTACGACTTTGTTGGCGTTATTTTAAGACTTACTTCAGACACGTATCATCAATGTGTAGTAATATTGTTCCTTTTTTAAAACTTAAAACATGATTAATGTTTCGAAAGAAGCGGTCGCATTCCCTGCAGAATCCTCCATCCTTAGATCATTTTCGATGTGTAGGTGAATGTCGCGCAACTTGTGGCTGATTTTTTCATTCGATGAAACTCAGAAGTGCTCTACTATGTACCACTGTGTTTAAGCTTCTATGGCTATGATTTCAATTCCAATATGGAGGAAACACTTCGTGGTAATCGTATCCGAACTATTCCAGAGTTCTTTGAGGAATAGACTACTCTACTGGAACTATCAGTAGAACAGATGATGCTACAGACAATACTATGAGTTCCATATGGCTAGCAAAGTTTTCTTCACAGCCCTGATGATTAAACTGATGGACAATAAAAGTTTTACGGAAATATTTACTTTGAACTAGTTGCAAACAAACAGTTGTAACTTGAAATTTCAACTCTCGCAAAAAGTTGCCATTATAAGATTTTAAAATAAGACGATGGTTTCATATATAATTTTATCACGTTTTTGGAGCCGTTTCTCAAAGGAGAGCACTGGACGCTAAGGTGATTGTTGTTTGGGACTGTAATGTATGGAAGATGTTCTATTAAAAACAGTTAAAGCATATGATTGTAAAACTTACTTTTTCATACTTCTGTTAAGATGGGTTCGGTTTTAAGGATTAAAAGGACATTTTAAGGAAAATTACCTTAAATCTAGCTTCATATTCGGGATAATGCAGTGCATATTTTGTGCAATTAATTTAACAGTACGCAGTCTGATAAGAATAAGCATATTGTAGAACAAAAGCAATCCAAAAAAATATTGTATATCTTTATTTTACAAAGAGCTTTCATCTGAGTATTTTATATACGAGTATTTTATATCGTAACATGGAGAACCAAAATGCATAGGAATACTTTTTTAATTAAGCTTTTTGGGTTCAATTATGTAATGATTTCTGCCTGAATAATTTGAGAAGCACTGCTAAGCTACTTACTCCATAAAGGTGGAGGCCTACCTTGCGATGACCTCATGGACGGAGTCCTACCTTCTTGGGACCAACAAGACTGACAAAGAGGTTTCAGTAATTTCCGCAAACCCTTTCGATGTGGCCGGCGGGATAATACGTAGATGACAGGGTCCAGAGTGAAGTTCAAAGCCATACATACATCAGCCGCTCGATAGAAGGGATGGGATTCACTTTCCGGATGAAAATGAGCCATTACTATGGTAATCTGTATGGAAAAAAAATTACAGATGGTATACCAACCACTTGTAATGAAACTTCGTTATTTAAGTCAAACATTTGCTTAAGTTACAATGATTGCCGTTAATATGATAGTGGTTAAAATTATTATTTGTTTTTTGTTATTAAATTGTGGACATCTTTCGCCCGTTCATCTTCAGACTCATGAAAATATCATAGTTTATTATAATCAACAAATCTCTTAACGTGATCAAAATGTTACTGATTAGGAGTTTTTTGCAACTTAAATAACAAATACAAACTGGATGGTTTTGCATTTTAGATCAATTATATCGTAAATTTAAATTTCGTTTTTATTCTTTTGAAACAGTTTTAAATTATAAAGACTTATAAAAAGTACTTACGGCTTGAAAAGATAAAAGTGAATTCTTTTAATTTCTGCGATCTACAGCACGCCTTACTGTAATGAATGGCGTCAAGAATTTTTAATGAAAGAATTTTTAAATGTAAAAGTGAACTGCAGACCATTTCCAAACTCCTGCCTAAGGCATACAGACGTTGTAGTTCTGTCGGAAAATATTATGTCCTAATTTCGACCCCGAGAAATTATTAAGACAGATGAAAGTATGCGATGCTATGAGATGAGAACTGGACTCTCCCATAACGTGGGAGATACACATGCAAAATTCAAATGAGCGAAATTAATTAATTTTTTGATTTTTTTAAATCTGCTAAATTTTATCTGGAACTGCACCTCGGAAAAGACATTAAAGAATGCTTTTAAACGTGTCATTGCATGAGATAAAGAAGGAAATACAAATATTTTCAACTAATGTGAATTGAAAAGCAATTGAAACTTGGGTGGATAACTGACAAAGGTGGCAGCTTTCATATTTTAGAATCAAATTTAGTTTCAATTTCTTTTTCTTTTCAATATTAATTTCGATAATTATTCGATATTAATTCAATATTAATATCTCTGTCGACCTTGTTTAAGTCTTCTGGATATGTACCCAGTATCCTGAAAACGTTTTTGAGCAAGCTAGGGCTGAAAGTCTGGTTACTTATTTCTGATCAGCAGTATTGAAATGATGTTTTCATCTTTTGCCCATAGTAGTGTACTGACAGTCCAGATCTCTCGTATTAGGTACCACTATCAGTAACAAATGCACCACAGCAAAATCCAACAAGGTAATTTTATTGTACGTGAAAAAGTCCAAAAACATTGATGTGAAACCTTTCCCTAGGCGAAAGCCATCCTTACAAACTGACTAACAGTGGAATCTACTAATTGTAAGTAGTGTTCGCTTTCGAATTAAATTTTCGACAGGATGGAAAAAGAGCGTTTTTTCATCTAATAACACAGCTCTCTTCCTCTAGTTTATTGTTAAATGATGGTATTTTCTTGTTCACTATGTTAACATCACATCTAGCATAGATAGATGCCAAAATTTGAACTTCTGAAATCTTATTGCAATAGTGCTCATTATATCTTATGTACTAATTATCCTTGTACTTTTAAGTTCATTTAGAGAGATGTGTAACATACAGTATATTAGCTGAATTCTAATGAGGTATTTTATGACTCCTACAATCTGCGAAAGGGATGCACACTAACTACTGCCAATTAGTACTAGTCTTTTTTAAGACTTTGTTTATGATATTCTAAGAGAACTTTATAATGCTTCTTTATTATTCATTAAACTTGCATCATGTTGGTTGAATGAAAAAATAATCCCACAAGACACACATTTCTGAGATACTAATATAAGGAATTAAAGACATTCTTTCTATGTCTGATACCATAAGCAGCAAATCAGTCCGGTAATCTGAAAACCTAGTATTTTTAAAGAAGACACTGTTGTACTTCAAATATGTTCCACTCCATTAATGCCTCACATTAATACAAGCTTTATTCCTTCCTTAATATAAAATCATTATTCTCCTTTCAGACTTTATAACGATCTCCTTATTCCCCGCACATAATCACTGTTTTTCTTTCAATTTTAATCTGTTCTCATATTTTTCCATTAACGTTATACTGACGAAGCATATGCTACCAATTTATATGCTGTGATAAGGTAAGAAGTCTTTTCAACAGGGTCAGGAGATGGATACTTTGAGTTCAGCGCAGATAAACACAGGGATATATATAAGGTGGTTTACTGACAAGAGAGACCTGAGAGATCCTGAGAGAGATACATTGATGGAGAAAAAGGTGCTAAAAAGGCCCGCACAGAAGGAAAACCTACCAACGAAAAACCTGCAGAACCGATAGAAAGTGATGGACCATGGATATCTCTTAAAAAGACAGTAAACATTCTTGAGAAGCCAGAACCGATGGAAATTGCGAATAGCAACAGATTCCAGTCACTCGATAAGATATACGAGGAGGAGCCAGAAGGAGGAGCAGTCCAGCAGAAGATGCCCCTACCAAATGTACTTCAAAGCAATGCAACTGATTGGTTGAAAGTAGAGGAACTACTGCGACAAGCATGCGAAGAGGAATTTCTAGCTGATACCAAGGCGAAATCAATCTTCGTTAATGTGAAGACCATAGATAATTACAGGAATGCTACAAAACTGCTGAAAGAAAAGAACATACCGTTCCATACCTTCCAATTGTGTGAGGAAAAACCACTGAAAGTAGTGTTGAAGAACATCTCGGATAATATAACTGAAGAAGCGATATTCAAGGATCTATAAAGGAGGAGTAAGTCCAAAAGTAAAGGAAAAAGAAGTTCCAAAGAAGTAAGAATAATAACTCAGAAAAATTGCCCATCTTCTTGCTGGAGCTAGAGAAAAAGAAGTCAGGATATGCCATACAATACCTGAACTGTATGTTCAGTGTGAACATCAGAATAGAAAGTTTGCACCGAAAAAGCTACCTATTCAATGCTATAGGTGCAAAGAGTGGGGACACACGCATCAGTTATGTACCAATGCAGAGAGGTGCTGAAAACGTGAAAAAAAACCCAGAAGCAATCAGTGTAACCTGAAACCGAATGCGGAACCAAAGTGCATTTTTTTTTGTCAAGAAAAACACGTTTGCAGCTATCGTGGTTTCGCGGAGTACAAAAAGAAATTTGAAAGAAGGATCCCGTGAAACACGATTCCACCACCTAAAAAAGCAGACTTATTCAGGCTGAAGAAGAGAGAAATCGTGAAAAACCCACCAAGCCTCTTTACAGCGAGAGACTGCAGAAGAAACTGAAGCTCCTCAAGCAGAAGCAAGAGAAGCTTTGGACTGGATTAATGATCGGAAAAATAATAGTTTCCTTAAAACTATTATTTCGAAGATACAAAAGATAATATCGGCAAAGACCACAACAGAAAAGTTATCAGTAGGTTTCCAAGCTGTGATGACGCTAATGAAGATTGCAGAATCAGATGATTAAGCTGCTGATCGAGGAGCTTGGACCCCGATTGGACTTCGAATGACTACCTTGCACCTACCATGACGGCCTGCTAATGCAAAGACCTTCCAACGCTTAACGTCTCACATAGATCGTATGCTCTGCATATTTATGTTTTCACCTTCGGGTGGTGACATGTAAATTTACTTGTCCTTATTTTTCTCACAACCACGAACGGTCGTTCTTGATACGGCAACTTCGAACAATCAGGTTAAAACTCTTAGTAGTTGATGCCTGTACCGAAAGTAAAGCATAAGCATAAGCATAAGAGAGACGAACTTTGCTGTTTGGAACTATGGGCATGCTGGCCTGCGAGAACGATCATTCCTCGTGTATAATGCGATTAAGCATTTTTCCTGTAACGAAATTCTAAAATTACGACACTAAATGTATCCAAGTCCCATACTGTAAGAATCGCAACTATTAATGTTTTATCTTATTAAAATTCATGTTATTGTTAAAACTTGAGTTTGAAGTTCATTTCAACCCTGCTTCACAACCCGGGGTTTGTGTAGCGGTTTCGGCCACTACACCACAATGCATACTGAATTGAACAATTATCTCTGGCACAAGTCATTATTCATTTGTAGCGCAGAACTAATAAGTTTGGTTAAAGGCCCGTTATTGTATTCAGAGACGGCGCTAAGCGTTTCGCCACCCGGTTCCTCCCTAAATTTGAAAAGATTTGTCGCTTTTTAATTCTGCTGCTCGGTGCACCTGTTGCGTCCACTCTGAAGACGGCCTTGACTATTTTACAAATACAAATACAAATACAATATTTAATGCCATACAATTAATATTATTTTTAATGTCCAATGGCTGAATACTTTTTTTAATCGAATAACGAGCTATGTAACTTTATTTTGAGATGTTCTTACCATTTGTGGGACCCAGCAGGCGACAAAGAAAATGCACAAAATGACCATCAATTTCGCAAAGGACAGTTCTTCCGGTGTGGTATGGTTGAAAGATAGTTCACGACTATCCTTCCTTACTGTTGTCCTCCCACAGTGAGCTAAGCTTTTACGACCCATTCGGCAGAGAGCTTGTACTACGGCTAGATTGCAGCAGACAATGACTAGACATAGCAAGCATCCAAATGTGAACATCAGAAAAGCGTAGGCAACATCGGAAGGTTCTCGAGCAGTCCGATATCGTGTGCACCGATAGATACCGCTTCCTGGAGGCCTGTCATCGTAATAGACGCCGAAGCCAGTGAATGGTAGGCAAACTAAGAACAGAGCCACAATCCACAAGGAGAAGATGGCACGCTTGATTAGCTTGTGTGTTACATGCTATAAAGAAAGAAGTAAAAAGATTACATTAGAATTCATGTATTTCGGACATTAAATTTAACGTTGTGATTTATAAAATCTGCCTGGTTGCCTCTATAAGGACTTAAACTATGGGAGCACGTAATATGCATATAAATGAGTCGCAGTGTTTTGAAAAATTGTATTAAATCTGTTTTATTAAGCAACTAAGGTGCTTTTACAAAGTCTTCATAAGTAAATGGTGATAAGAAATATAAAACTTTCCAACTCGAAATTTGTTGAGCTCGACTGCTTAATTAATTGTCTACTTACTTAATTAAGGAAATATATTTGTACAGAATATTAATGAGTATTATTAAAATATAAATAACAAATAGTGTAATTTGAAGATCAATCGTCATAAAGATGATCACTCAGGAAAATAGTAAGCGATTCACACGCATAATATGATATAGTTATGAATACGAAGTTCATGAAGTAAGATAATGAAAATAGTAGTTGAGACCATAGGTTTTTCATTGTTATCGTAAAATAATAATGATAATAATAATAATTGGAAGGTGTTGAAACACACTAAAATTCGCTTGCTGAAGTTAAGCTTGTTCATCGACCTCCTATAGGAAATTTTTGTACTTTACGCTTGTTGCGTATTTACTATGAAAAATATCTTGGATCATTTTTTTTTCAGCTTTAGCGTGAAAAGATCCTTCTCCTCGTACTGAAATGTCAATTAAGAATTTCAAAGAGTAAATGTAAATAACATAAAAAAAAAGCAGAATCACATTAGTTGATCACAAAGTAAAACGACAAATATGACATTGCTTCTTTGAAGTTTTAAGACTTCATTCATATGAAATCCAAAGATGAAAGAAACAACATTCTCTGATTTACTTTTTTTAATTAGCTTTCTATAAGATAATCTATACAATGAATGAAAGAGTCTATATAATGATTGACCCACTGAACAAACCACGATGATTAACACTCTGATGGTTCCATCGTAAAATCTATCAGAATACGATTTAACAGTTGCTATTAAAATAATGACATTTGAAGTGAGATTTAACTTTAAGGAAAGTAAAGTAATTTGCAAGTGCCAAATATAGTAAATAAGGGGGTGATTAAGTAGTGTGACATCATTCTTCGCTAGAAACTTCTTGACGAGAATTCATTTGTGTATCGACGTATTGATATATAGCAGAAACTGTTAGGTACAAAACAAGAAAAAATTTGTTTTCCAAGATCTTCTACGATAGTTTTGTAAGTTGTGTCTTTACTGATGTTAACTTATTAGCTTTCATTTGAAGACAGAGACATCACTACTTTTCAACAACCCAATTGCCGAACTTTATCGCCCTGTTCTCATTTGCTGAGACTGCAGCGGTTGACCATCCTGGTTTGATCAGCAACATTTTCACGTCCATCACAAAATCATCTATACCATCGAAACAGTGTGTCATGTTAATGCTTGATATCCGCATACTTTACGTTTGATTTCAAATGTCTCCGTTGTTATTTTTTTCTATTTACAACTATACCATTGTTCTTTACTCAGCTTTTGAATCCCTTAATGATTCACTTGATCACAGCAAACGATTAAGTTCATAGTAAACTCTGTCCGAAAGAAGCTGCTATCTTAAGAAAAAATTAAGACGCCATAAAAATAAATGCTTTCAATTATCGTTCATAAGTATGAAAGACCTTGTTAAAATTTAGTTTCAAAACTATGCATACGCACTCGTCTAATCATTTATTTTCTATTCCTTTAATTCATAATCCATTTCATTTAATTCATAATCCAAGCATTAATTTGCATTAATGCTATAAATACACCTATTAATCAAAGTTCATTGCGTGACCTTAAAAATGAGGCATTTGAGAGAAGTATGTACGGTATCATTAACTCGATATGATGAATTTGAACTTTACTGTTCAATTTCTTAAAGTTAGAAATAATGACTCTACAGTTTATAGTTACAGTTGTAAGGTTTATCCTAAGGTTTTAACAGTTAAAGCTATTTTCCTGTCCCTTCTAATTTCAGCTTACAATTTCCTGCCAAAGTGCGTTTTTAGAATCGCGATTAATGCGAATGAAGGGAGAGCGGTATTTAAGTCGAAGTTCCGTTTATGCATGACTATTTTGATAACAATTAAAGTGATGAGAACTAATTTTTCAAAATACCAATATAATTTAACAAATTTTACACAAATATAACTCTAAATACTTACTTTCACAGTATTTTAATTGGGGAAAAAAGTCACTAACAGTTCATTGTATGGAATTTTTACACAAAAGTTTAATTTCTGAACTGTTGATAATATCTCTGAAAATTGTTTTGCTGATTCTGTGACCCTAACCTTTATAATTATAGGGAATCCCTCATTTCAACATGTGTAGGAAATTCACCGATATCGTCGCCTTCTTCTTCAGAATGTCATCACATGATGTGATGTGATTTGTTTGAAAAAGCGATAGGCTATATTCTTCTGTCATTGGATCTACAACTTGATATTCTTCATCAATATTCATCGAAACGTTAAATTCCTCCCATTTCTTATTAGTTGTAAATGTTTGAAATTTTCATTTTCTTTTATTCTATCATTTATTAAAATTCTAGCATGCTTAAAACAGTTCCTTATCGTTTTTCTGAGATGCGGTTCAAGGTTGTAGTATTGCTTCAAATCAAACTCAAGATGCTTGGAGACTTTGTAGAGACCGACTCTCGCACGAAGAATGTAATTTATTTTTAAATGTTAGAATATGTTTTCTCTTCTTGTTTGTATGTCGCCATTTTTTTGAGTGTTAAATAAAAGTTATTGCTGTGTTCCATCATTGGAGTTGCTTCATTTCGCCAAAGAAGTATTACAGTCATAATTATTTTGGAGGCACCAACCGAGATCGAATAATCGTGCGTATTTTTATTTTATTAGTTCATCATTGAACATAATATTAGTGATACCAGATTATTACCTCCTGTTAATATTGAATTGCTTTATTTTATTAGTTCATCATTGAACGCAATATTAGTGATACCAGATTATTACTTCCTGTTGATATTAAATTGCCTTATTTTATTAGTTCATCACTGAACGTAACTTTCTGTTGATATTGAATTGCCTTATTTTATTAGTTCATCACTGAACGTAACTTCCTGTTGATATTGAATTGTCCTTATTTATTAGAAGTTCATCACTGAACGTATATTAGTGAAACCAGATCATTACTTCCTGTTGATATTAAATTGCCTTATTTTATTAGTTCATCACTGAACGTAACTTCCTGTTGATACTGAATTGCCTTATTTTATTAGTTCATCACTGAACGTAACTTCCTGTTGATATTGAATTGTCTTATTTTATTAGTTCATCACTGAACATAATATTAGTGATATCAGGTTATTACCTCCTGTTAACACTGAACTGCCTTATTTTATTAATTTATCACTTGAACGTAAACTTAGTGTTACCATTTTAATGCCGTCTCTAGTAGAGCTGAAAGGAAAAGAAAAATAGTTGAAGAGAAGATCTTGAAACCGATGAAGGAAGAAAATAAAGCATCCAACGATATATTTGAAGAAGAAGTTAAATCACCAGAATTAAACGTGGAAGATGTTCACGAAAATTTGAAAAACGATAAATTAATATTGAGAATCATTTTGCAATGCAGCGTTATCATCATCTTTTCGGCTTTCGATTTAATATCAAAGCCGCTACTAATAGACGAAGAAAACAATTGTCGAAAGCAAATGACAATGAATATTATCCGAAAGGCACAGATGGAACTGAGGAAAGGCTTTTGCTGTGAATTATAGCCGAGGAACTGGTCCAACATGGAAGAGATCTAGGCGGCCGTCAAGAATTAAAAAAAAAAAAAAAAAAGAAGACTAATTTGAACACTGTCCATTTTCTTCCTATTTAAATGTGGTGTAAAAATATTTGTTTAAAATTTAAAATCTTCGGCCTGGAAACTTATGAGAGAAGTTATCTTTTCTCTTTAAGCAATTGAGCAAGCCGAGCTTATAAACTTTCGAAATTTACAGAACTTTTCCCTTCAGTAAAAGTCTCTCCGTTGGGGGAGAGGTTGTAACAGCTTTAAATAATATTAAAATCTTGTAGTTTAAATAATTTAAATAGATGAATATTAAGGTATTTGTGAATGGCAATATTTGAAACCAGACTCGAGTGCCTCGTGCGATTCTCGCACGAAGAATGTATTTTATTTTTAAATGTTAGAATATGTTTTCTCTTCTTGTTTGTATGTCGCCATTTTTTGAGTGTTAAATAAAAGTTATTGCTGTGTTCCATCATTGGAGTTGCTTCATATCGCCAGAGAAGCATTACAATACTCTCCCTTTTAAAGGGAGACTGGGGCTTTTAGGGGACCCAATTGCCAAATCCTGAATGGGGAGAAATCATCACCCGCCACCCTTTTAGTTCGGGCATCACTGTAGAGACATTAGGTTAATTGGAAAAGCCGGAGAGATGAAAAATTAGCAACCGCCTTTGCCGGGAATCGAACCACGGACCTTTGAAATACTGGCTCAGCGTGCAGACCACTACACCACGAAGGCTCGCCAAGAAGGTGGGAGAAATACCTTATAACTTAATGCCTTAATTGATGACACAGGTTTGTCATTTGGTGATCTCCTTTCACAATTTTGACATTATTTCACAATTTTATCTTTTGTTTGGTGACATAACTTCAGTTTGAGAAATTCATTCTATAATATTTTGATAACATTTATTGACTTGCGGCTTACAATAAGCGATGTATTTTCCATGTTTCTGTATATAAGTGGATTTTGTATTTGGGAATTCGATGACAATATATTCGTACGAATGACAAAATTAACTGCTATCATATTAAACGCTGCTTACCGTTTTAGTATTATTATGCGGCACATAAACTTTTAAAAGGCAAATAATACTTTGTTTGGAAGAAATATTTCTATGAAAGAAAAGAACGTTAAAAATTAGATTGATATTAATTTTCTTATCAAGTTTATTTTCAGTTTTAAAAG